GCCCGAATCGATTAACAATTTTTTCACGTCTTCTCATATTTTATTTTCTCGTCAAATCTTCTGACCAATCAAATGCTCTCCAGCATCTGACATGCCCCGCCCTCTTCAAGACACTTTTTATTTGCTTTTCGTTTGATGCGCTTGAGTGGTTCAACCACTCTAAATGAAATGCTATTGGCTGTTTTTTAAAGGGGTGGAGCTTCCCAACCCTCTCATAATTTTTCAGTTGAGATTACGTCAAACATCGAATAAAAAATGCACATTACAAAACTCTTCACAGGCCCTTTAAGCCTTCCTTTTTTAAATAACAACCCCCTCCCCCTTCACTTCCCTTAAAAAAATAGTTTGCTTCACTTAATGCAATCAAACATCTTGGCGTCATCGTTTTTAGGGCCCGCTGTCTGTATAGGTGATAAATTAAGGGCTTGTTTTCTGTGGCATATCTATATGTTTTACCGCTGTTAGGCTTTTCTCTCAGAGAGCGCTGGGGTGTGAAAGTCTCTCCGGATGCCTGACTGTGAGCTGCGTTCACCTCGACTCCCTCCCCGTGTGAAGAGGCTACCGAAGGGCATCTGTAGTAATAGGGTAATCTATTATAGGGCTCGGCGTCGCTCTCTGCTTTCCCATTCCCGTGCCTCTGTCTCAGCACTTCGTCAGGACGAATGAGAGGAGGAGTTTAACTAAGCACATTACTGCACGCCGCTTGCATATCCCAGCACTTCCTCAATTAAACCCCCTCCACCATCATCTCCGATATCCCATTAACACACACACACATACATACACACAGGCGTGGACATGGCTCTTCTGGCACGCTTCGTCATTTTATTGGTATGTTTAGCAATTTTACTGTGTTTGATAAAACAGTATAAAAAGGTTATTGGGTTTTCTCAATCACAGATAGCTTGAATGTAAATGATTACAGCAACAGCATTTCTTCACATTTGACGAGCTGTCGGAGCAAACCATTTCAGGTCACACTTTACAATAAGGTTTCATTAGTTAATGTGTTTACTAACATGAACTAATTTATCAATCACAGCTCAACATTTATTAACGCATTTATTAACGCATGGATTATTCTAATCCATATTCATGCTTGTTAACATTAGCTAATGCCCTGTGAGGTAACATGAACGACAATGAATGATGATATTTTCGTTAACGTTAACTAACATGAACAAATATTGTAATAAATGTCTTGTTCTTTGTTTATGTTAGTAAATCTATAAACTATTAACTAATACGATTATTGTAAAATGTTAGCCAAATTTATATTAAACTATAATGTGAATTTCCAGGATGTGTTGCAGATTGCTAAATTATTGAAGGTTTAGTTCACCCAAAAATCCAAAAATGAAAATTATTAACTTCATGTCATTCAACTCCCTGGAGACCTTCGTTCAACTTCTGAACACAACTTATTATATTTTAGATGAAATTGTAGACGTTTAAAGTCCAGAAAATGAATCAAAAACATTGTTATAACAGTATGTGACTCAAAGGTTGAACTGTAATCATTCATTCATTCATTCGTGCATTTTCTTTTCGGATAGTCTCTTTATTAATCTGGGGTCGCCATCCGCTTGTGAAGTGGTGACGTGTTTGTGACGTACGTATACTGTTTCCGGGTCCAAGCCGCCATTCATTTGAGTGGAGAAATCGTTCGTTTATGATCGCGTTTTATTCCTATCACACATTAAAGTTAATTTTACATAAAGTCATAGTGTACACAACAATCTCTGGGCTTGCTGCATAACAAATACCAAAATTTTAACAATTTATAAAACAATGAATCACTTTCTGGCCATCGGATATTAGGCATGGACTTATATATTGCGATCGTGACTTTCGAAAGTATTAAATCGCTTTGTAAACGTTTATTATTACCATTTCATGAATCTCCTCATTAAGTTGAATAGAGCACTTGGACCCGGAAGCCGCTCCGCGTGACGTCACACTTAACAAGCGGATAGCGGAATGAACCGCCAACTTATCCAGTATTTGTTTTATGCAACGGATGCCCTTCTAGCTGCAAACCATCACTGGGAAACACCCATACACACTCATTAACCCACACACACTTATACACTACGGGCAATTTTAGCTTAGCCAATTCTATAGCGCAAGTCTTTGGACTTGTGGGGGAAACCGGAGCACCTGAAGGAAACCCACACAAAACAAGAAGAACCTGCATATTAAGTATTTTCAGTCGTACGAAAATGTACGATTTTAAGGAGGCGTGACGCCCAAGCCCGCCCTTAAACCCAATTGTCATTGGGGGATGAGGAAATCGTACTAAATTGTACTAATTAGACCGTACATATTCATACGAATTAGCCACTAAATCAAAATGTTACGAATAGCCTTGAGATTGCGTTGAACTGGTGAATCTAATGGCAATATGTTGTACTGCCTTTACTAAACATGCACCCTAACCTGATGTAGTAGAGAAGACAATGGCAAACTGTTATACTTACTGTTTTTTTGTCGCACAAAAGTGTTCATATGATTGCAGTTGAACTACTGAAGTCTCATGGGGAATGTTTGACAATGTTGTTGGTTTCTTTTTTGGACTTTAAACACTTGCTGTCTCTGGAGGATGAGAGAGCTCTCAGATTTCATCTAAAAAAATCTTTGTTTCCTGAAGATGAACTTTCAGAGGTTTTAGGTGATTGGAATGACATGAGGGTGAGTTCATTTTCATTTTTAAGTTAGCTTTATGTTACCATTATTAATGTTATTCTTCCATTTATTCATAGTAATGTCATTGCACTGTTGGTGTACTTTTATATTATTTGTTAGCTTTTTTATTGGTGCATGGTCTTCTTCAGTCTTCAAAATATCACCGAAACCTCATTTGTAAATTTTTTTTTTTTTTGCATGTTTTGTCTTTTAATTGTTTTGGATTCTATACATCATTATTATAAATATTTATTAATATGATGTTTGCAAAGTAAACTGACCCTTGCTGTTTTAAATTCATTTTGAGGAAAATAAAACTAGTTTAAGTTTTCTGTGGAGATATGGTTTATTGTATAGTTTATATATTATTAATATTAATAGCCAATGAAAGATATGAAAAAGATGGAATGAGTTTGACAAAATTATGAAATAAGCTATAATAACATGCAGTGTAGAAAATTCAGAGTTCTACTCATTTCATTCATACTGTCCCAAAACAAATCGATTAAGTTAACAAATTTAAGTAGATTGAAAATCTCAAGAAGTGTGTTGTTTCAGCTCATTTTAAATGAGTAGATCAAAATTAAGCAGCAAAATATTTTTTTTTCACTGTATGGCTAAATAAAACTATTGAAAATATTTTAAGGCCTATCCCCCCTATTTAAGCTAATAAATAAATCTTAATACCATAATTATTAAAACATACAGGTATTAACAACATGTTAATAATTTTGAGCACACATTTGTACAGATTCAATCGTTGCAGTTCTTTAAATTCCCTTAAGAAGTAATAATTTATTTTACCATAATTTATTAGTATGTAATTAGCCTACCACAATGCCTGCTTTTATCAGTGCGAAGCTTACAGCGCCCTATTAAAATAATCACAATACCATTTTAAACCAGCAATGATTGATTAAATTTATTTTTTTACAGTTAATTTGATGGGTGCTATAAAACAGGGATGCATTTGTGTCAAAAATCGGGACGTGTGGTCACGAAAATACTTGCGAATACAAACGCGAACTTATCCTTTTTTTGCGATGGTTTTACCGGTAAGCCTACTCTAGGGGACGCTAATAACTAATCTTGTTAGACATTTAAACACATCCGACCTGAAAACCTCACGATTGTTGTTCAGGTAAGTACATTTAAGTAGATTACCATTTTAAAAACTCATTAAAGTTTCACAGAAGGGAATAGCACGTTTAAATGCTTTTTGCTAAACTGTTCCTAAAGAGCTATGATTAGCAAACAAACAGAAGAGGTGTTTTTTTAAATTCTATTCAAATGGTTGCTCTGCCATCATACCAGTAATTCAGTTGTAGACAAATACTGGCCACTAAGTAGATATTAACAATAAAAATAATGAATTCATTTTTAATCTGTAAGAATGGCCTTAAAACGACTTTGCTCAACACGAGGGTTCTCGCAGAAGTTTTCACAGGTGAAGACAATTAACGTTAATTTGCTCAATTTCGACTCTTCTTTTAACCCTGTCCTGTTTTCTGCTGGCCTGAGGTGTGTTCATATTCTTATTTATTATAAAAGTTAAAAGGAGATTGTTGTTTAGTAACCTAATATTACAATTTAAAACGATATATTTTAAATTCTAAATTATTTCTGTGATGGTAAAACTGTATTTTGAGTCTCCAAAGTTACTTCAGTATATTTTTTATGTAAAAAAGTTGTAATGCTTCATATTTTTGCTTAATATAATGCTGTTTTGCAAAATAAAGTCAGTAATTGCTCCCATATTTTAAGATTGGTTGTTGTACACATAAATATATCAGTACTTCTTTATTACTTTGACCAAAAAAGTCCTTTGTAACCTTTAAAAAAAAGCGTCTTCTTTTTTCAGTGTCACCTACTTCAAGATAATCTCACTTTCAGAATTCAGAGGAGTCTCTAAAGCCAGGAGTGATGGAGAAGGAAAGTAGGACAGAAACACAGCGAGGAGAAGATTAAATCCAGCATGATTATTTTAGGTAGGCAGGAAGATCAGTTTCCCCTTTCCCCCTTGTTTTTGCCCTTGATCTTTCTCCCTTTGTATTCCCAATCCTCTTTCTCATTCATCTGTCCTTCTTAAGGAGTCTCGGAGATTTGGGTGGAGAGAAAGCTGACTTGTGAGTCTCGAATCAATTGACTCTTTTTTTTTTCTCTCCCTCTCTTCTCTGACTTTGCTGTGATTTGCCGACATCACTGGGTAGTCTCTCTCTCTCTCTCTCTCTCTCTCTCTCTCTCTCTCTCTCTCTCTCTCTCTCTCCCACATTTAGTCCGTCCACTGCTTGCATCAAGCCAGCTCTTGCTTTCCTCTCCTCTCCTTCACTCCACTAGGATATTTTCCTCCTCTATCTCTCTCCATACATCCGAACACATTCCTGTTTCTTTTCTGACCCCGCTTTTTCTTTCCTATCTCCTGGAATGTGGCACTCTTTGGCTTTCACTCTATGTGGGATCTCCGCTTTGATCCAGGGTAGGTTCCTCACTATGCTCACATGCATGTAAGTATGAATCCGAAGCGGTTCTTGAGGAAAGACATGTTGAATTATATGCAGATCAACATTTAAGTGTTATTTGATCTCTTGCATTTGTTCGCTGTGTGAACCTGTTTACCTACCGCATGTCTCCAGATGTTTTTTTTTTTTTTTTTTTAACCACTGTTGCAGTAAAGAGGGGGAAAACAGAAGGAATCAGGGGGAATGAGAGGGAGAATGAGACAAAATTGCTTTGCCATGAAGAATTAGAAGCTGCAATCATAAATTGCACCTTCTCCTCTCCCCCTCCCGTCTCTCACTCTCTCTCTCGCTCTTTCGTTCATTCCTCTAAATCCATGAGTATATAGACTGTGTGGAGGCACTGAAAGCTTTTGTTGATTCAGTTCTCTGGTGGTGTTGTGGACATGTTGCTGCAGTGGTGTAGAAAGATGGAGTGAGTGTGTGTTTTTATGTGTGTGTTGCCATGGAAAGCTTCTATCTATTTTATCTTTTGTTTTTTTTTCCTCTCTTTTCATCTGTCTGTCATAAAGCAGAACTTTTATCGGGGGTTGTCAGTTTCACACCAGGCCATCTGGATTTATTTCTCATAACCCATCATTCTCAGTATTATTTTTAAGTGTCACATCACAAAATATTTAAAGTTTTTATGTTTTCACAGTCAGTGGATCAAGTGTTTGGATGGGAATTATGTATCTGTTGACTGTAGGGTGATTACATGTCAACTACATGTGCGTATATTTATTTATATATATATATATATATATATATATATATATATATATATATATATATATATGAAGTCAGATTTATTCGCCCCCCCTGTTTATTTTTCCCCCAATTTCTGTTTAACGGAGAGAAGATGTTTCATATTTCTACACATAACACATTTCTAAACATAATAGTTTTAATAACTCATTACTAATAACTGATTTATTTTATCTTTGTCATGATGACACTAAATAATATTTGACTAGATATTTTTTAAGACACTTTTTTTAAGACACTTCTATACATGACCTTAAAGGGACATTTAAAGGCTTAACTAGGTTCATTAGGTTAACTAGGCAGGTTAGGGTAATTAGGTAAGTTATTGTATAACGATGGTTTGTTCTGTAGACTATTGAAAAAATATATAGCTTAAAGCGGCTAATAATTTTGACCTTAAAATGTTTTTAAAAAAATAAAAACTGCTTTTATTCCAGCCGAAATAATTAAATAAGACTTTCTATAAAAGAATAAATATTATCAGACATACTGTGAAAATGTCCTTGCTCTGATAAACATCATTTGGGAAATATCTAAAAAAAAGGGGGAAAAAATCCAACGGGGGCTAGCATTGGATTTAAACAGATATTAATATGTCTGTTCCTAAAATATGTTGACTCTTTGTTGCATTTAAGGTGTAGTAGGTGATTATCTCCAGAAACATTTTTGTTGTGCTGCTTGAAAGTCTCTTCACATTCCAACAGTACTGATTAAAGTAAATGATCAAAAAGTGTTTGTATGTATTTTTATATTCTAGGTAAGGAATAAGACTAAAAAAAGTTCATCCAATTAATTATTGTGGGGTCGATATTTCCCATAATTCTGATACGTAGCCCAACCTGTCAGTCAACAAATGTAAATTTGTACATCTGCACAGCCGTTCACGCAGATCCGCTGTGTGCGTTCAGGTGCACACTAGAGATAGACAGTGGTAAAAACAAATGCTGAATGAAAAAATTGTAAAATTCTGAATCAATATTGAAGTTACTTTTGCATGTTGGAGGAAGGACGACACCATGTCTGAAGTATTTTTTTAGACAGGTAATGCTATGTTTTAAAATTATTTTAGTCATGCAAAGCTGATGTAGATTGTGTTGTTTTATGAATGGGTTATATGCACAGAAGTGTTGTTCAGCTACTGAAATCTTCCAGTGTAAGATTGTTGTGACTATTTTCAATTTTATAAGGAACATTTTACAGTATCTATAATGTAGATTTTTATTTAGTTTAACATCAAAACAACAGTAAATAGCGCTATTTCGCCTAGCCTGTTTTACTGAGGTGAAATTGGTTTTATGTTCACATTGGCGAATAACAAGAACTAGTGGATTGTCTACTATTATCTTTAAGGTGCACGTTCGTGATTTTAGGAGGTGTGGTTTGGACAGCAGGGGGGCGACTGCGTTTTTAAAGATATTGTGCTAACGTTTAGCATTTTCTCAGATCCCCTACTGCACTTTTAAATGCCAGTGGGGAATAACTTCTTTGCTTTGAAGGTTGCAATGGTTGTGATTGTGAAAAATGTTCATAGATCTCTTCAAATTCTTTTAGATTTTGGTTGTTAATTAAAGTTTCTTTTGGTATCTTAAATTTTAAGGTCTTCTACTGGTAATTTCAAGATATGCTTGGCTTTCTAAATTGAGTAAATTAATACATTTAACACTTTTGCAGTTTACCTAAATGTGGGTAGCAATGTATATTAAGCTAAATTTTTAAAGCATGAAATATATGTATGTTACTAGTTCTCATTCGATCTTTATTCATTAATAAATTATTTAGCTAAAATGGCTACCCAGTTCATCTAAAAATTTTAATTCTCTTATTATTTCTTCAGCTTCTTGTTCCAAACCTACTTAAGTTTCTTCTGTTGAACACAAAGAAGATATTTTGAAGCTGAAAAGATGAACCCTTTGACCTGGGTCAATAATATTTTCTTTGTTCCTACTATGGCAATGGCTGCCGTTTTCCAACATTCTTCAAAATATCTTCTATTGTGTTCAACAGAAAATAAAAGGCATTTATAAAGGTTTAAAACTAATTGAGTGTGGGTAAATGGTGTGTAATGGTTTAATTTTTTGTGTGAACTCTACCTTTTAGGGGATTGTTTTTGAATGACCAGATCTTCCGATTTAAGTAGGTAGATCACTGTTATTCAAGTTTTACCACAGACTATTCATGCCATTTTCAGATAATGGCATTTTGTTTTGGCAATGCTACTTTGGCTTAAATGCACTTTATACAAAAAAATAGATTGAAATAAATCAACACTTAACAAGATGTCTGTGCATGCAAAAATTGAATCTTTTTGAACACCAAAATATTTTTAAAAATATGATTTACAAAAGCAACTATTATTTCTCCATGCAGGAAATTACTTTTCAGAATTTGAATTAAAATCTTTACTCTTTTATTCATTGTTTTTTATTTACTTCATCAATGCACTTCATTACGTTTGATTACTTTTTCAAGTTCAAGAGATGCAGTATGTATGCCTTCATTTTGAAACGTCAAGATAGAATCTTTCTTGTTTTTCAGTAAACAAAACAAATTTTGGAAACATTTCCAGGAGAGAATGTTATGGATGTAGCATACTCATAGACATGGTTTGAACATCGGAATTTGAATTATTATTTTTGAATGCACAGTAAATTATTATTATTTTAAATCTAATTGCCCTTTTTGACTGCGTTAAAAATGCGTTAAAATGGTTAAAAACCATTTTAAGGTTAAAATGATTAGCCCCTTTAAGCCATATTTTTTCAGATTATCTACAGAAAAACAACAATGTTGTACAAAGATTTGCCTAATTACACTAACTTATTAACCTAGATAAGCCTTTAAGTGTCACTTTAAGATGAATATTATGTATAATATTATGTACTGTCATTTTGGCAAAGATAAAATAAATCAGTTTAGAAATGAGATAGTGACCCTTGTGCACTGTTCAAATTTACTATCCTTTTGTTCTGTTAGAGATGAAAACATTGAACCCATTGAATTAAACTGCTGTAAAAATGAATCAGATAAGTATATTTTTAAAAAGTTTTCTACCTCAGTTCTGATCAAAACTAATACATGTTTTAAATTACAATTACAATACAAAAAGTTACATTAATATTGGATTATTATCCCTTTACAACCATATCCTGTAGAGTTTTGTTGTCTGAGCGGCGGTCGTTTCAAACTAAAATGGTCCTATGGTCCACTACAGTGGACATGCTGTAAAATTTTAAATAAAAACAAAATGTAAAAACTCAAAATTGTAAAAAAAAAATTTATCCAAAGGACGTAAGAAATCACAGATAAAAAAGAAAAAAAATCTTTGGGTCTCAGGAGGACAATAGAAGTCAATAGGGCAAAAACAGCCGCCAGCAGTAAATTAGGGAGATAAAATGAAAATTAATTAAAAACAATGCATCCATGGCAGTGTTGTTTCACATGTCCAAGACTATGATAAAAGGTACACTACTTTTTATATTTGTATTATATTTGTGTGTGTTTTTCACCAAATCACTGACATCATTTACGAATTTGCCAATTAAATTGTTAAAATCCCATAATTTCCTAAAAAATTTAGTAGTTTTGATCAGGGCAGAGGTTGATTAACAGATTTATGCAAAAAAAATAAAATAAATAAATAAAATAAAACAATAATCTGATGCATTTTTACAGCAGTTTAATATAGCAAATCTTTTTTTTCATCTGAATATAACAAAAGGCTTGCAAATTTTCCCAAAGTGTATTGTTGAGTTTGAAGCATTTTCTCAAAACATGTGTCTAAATAAGATTATAAAATAAGGTTTGTCACCAAAAATCATCCTGCTAGCTGAAACACGAAATAAGTTATGGCCAGATTAAGGCTCAAAATCACCCCAGAGTGGATGAAAACATCCCCACCAGTACATAAGGGTTAAAACAATTATGTTTAGAAATCTTCTTCCCACTAAAACGATATTATTATTATATTGGGGACAAAAATAAACAGGAGGGGTCTAATAATTCAGGAGAGCTAATAATTCTGACTTCGACTGTAGATGTGTAGATGGTTCAGGCGATTTTATCAATCACCTGATTTCCTCCCTTCAGTAAACAATGCTCATGGCATCCCTTCACCTTTATTTCTGTTTATTTCTCAGCTTCGGCAGTTTTTGTAGTCCAGAGGGTGTTTGGCTTTTGTGAAGTCTCACGCCCTGCAGATGCTTTAGGGAAAATCTTGATATACCTGAGAAACATTGTTTGATCCTTTTACCGAACAACACAGAGTCCGCCTGAAGGGAGTTTCGTGTCAGTAATACGACAAGCTCTATATTCGGTTTTCGTTGCTTGCTAGTGGTCATAGTCAGTAGAGACTGCCCGTGGGAATCAGTTCATATTAAACCTGTTGTTATGGCTGGAGGCTCACGCTGCTTTTGTGCGGTGAATGAGAGTAATAAATTCAGGAGTAAGTCCATTCTTGCTTTAAACCGTACGCTAAATTAATTCTCTTCCATTAAGTTATGTTTTTTTCCACACTTGCCACACACACATGCTCTGCACTCTTTGCTGTGAGACCTTTTTCGAGGTTGTCTGCGAGAAACAATTGAGTTTTTGAACTGTCTTGAGAATTTACTACAAGAAAACTTTAAAGTTAAAGCTAATCTCGCTAATTGGCTGTTGGCAAAGGTGGATGTTTGGATGTCTGTTCAATCTGTCTGTCTGCTGTTGTTTTTGGCAGACTGGCTCTCAGTTTGTTTGTCTTTGGTTCTGTTGGTCGGTTATTCTTTCTTTGACTGCTGTTTATGCTATCTGTCATGTTCTGTTCTGTATGTTGTCTGTCTGCCTGTCCATTCCTTCACCTGTCTGTCCATCTGCTTATCCATCGGTTTGATGTCTGTCTGCCTGTCTTTCTCTCGCTCTGTCTGTCTTCCTCTCTCTCTGTCTGTCTGTCTGGCTTCCTGTGCATATGACTGTTGGTTTGTCCATCTGTCTGTCTGTCCCTCCACTTGTCTGTCTGTTTGTCCATCTATTCGATTGTCTGACGTTCTGTCTGTCTCTCTGTCCATCCTTCTGTTTTAGTGTCTCTCTCTCTCTCTGTCTGTCTGTCTGTCTGTCTGTCTGTCTGTCTGTCTGTCTGACTTCCTATCTATATGACTATCTCTATCTGTCCGTTCCTCTGCCTGTCTGACTGTCTGTCTTTCTCTCTGCCAGTCTGTCTCCCTATCCATTTGGCTGTTGGTTTGTCTATCTGTCCATCCGTCCCCCTGTTTGTTTGTCTGACTGTGTCTGAATGTCTGCCTGCCTGCCTGTCTGTCTCTCTGTCTGTCTATATGACTGTTGGTTTGTCCATCTATCTATACGTCCACCTGTTTGTCCGTCTGTCTGTATGTCTGCCTGTCTGTCTGCCTCTCTGTCTGTCTGTCTGTTTGTCTGTCTGTCTGTCTGTCTGTCTGTCTGTCTATATGACTGTTGGTTCGTCCACCTGTTTGTTCGTCTGTCTATCTGTCTGTCTGACTGTCTGTCTCTAACTCTCTCTGTCTGTCTGTCTGTCTGTCTATCTGTCTCCCTGCCCTTATGACTGTTGGTTTGTCCATCTGTCTGTCTGTCCACCTGTCTGTTTGTCTGTCTGCCTGTCTGTCTGTCTGTCTGTCTGTCTGTATGACTTTTGGTTTGTCCATCTGTCTTGCCGTCCATTTGTTTGTCCATCTGTCTGTCTGTCTGTCAGTCTGCCTGTCTGTCTGTCTGTCTGTCTGAATGACTGTTGGTTTGTCCATCTGTCTGTCTTTCCACCTGTTTTTTCATTTGTCTGTCTGTCTGTCTATCCATATGACTGTTGGTTTGACCATCTGTCTGTCCATCTGCCTGTTTGTCCATCTGTCTGTCTAACTGTCAGTCTCTCTCTCTCTCTGTCTGTCCAACTGTCTTTCAGTCTGTTTTACATCTATCTGTCTGTGTCCATCTATTCGTCTGTCTCCTTGTCCATGTGACTGTCTGTCTGTCTGTCCGACTCTGTCTGTCTATCTGTTTGACAGTTTGTTTTTCTCTCTTTTTGTCTGTCAGTCCAAATGTTTATCTGTCCATCTGTCAGTCTGTCTGTTTGTTCATCCTTGTTCACCACTGTCTTTCTGTATCTCTTTCTGTCTGACTATACACCTGTCTGTCTGTCTGACTGTCTGGCTGCCCATGACTGTCTGTCCAACTTTTTTTGTCTCTCTCTGTCCATATGTCTGTCCATATAACTTTTATCTATCTATCTATCTATCTATCTATCTATCTATCTATCTATCTATCTATCTATCTATCTATCTATCTATCTATCTATCTATCTATCTATCTATCTATCTATCTATCTATCTATCTATCTATCTATCTATCTATATTTCTGCATCTGTTGACCTGTTTATCAGTTTGATCTTTCTCTCTGTCTTTTGTTCTGTCCATCCTTTTCTCTTCTCATCAATTACTGTTTGTCTGTCAGTTTATCATTCTACCTGTCTCTTTTGGTTTATTAATTCATCCGCCCATATTTATCTTCCCTCCATCTGTCTTTCTCGTCTATCCGTGCATCTTCTGGCTGGGTGAACTAATGTCTTGATTTGCAGTTTGTGTTCTGGGTGGTACAGTACGTTCATGTCTCTCTGTCAGTGTCAGTGCAAGGGCCGTACCAGCGGACCCTGTTGAAGAACCTCCTGAAGGATTATAACCGCATGGAGAGGCCTGTAGCCAACGACTCGCAACCCCTCACCGTCTTCCTGTCTATGAGCTTGATACAGATCATGGATGTTGTAAGTCTCTCTTTTCCCTCTTACTTATGTTTACTTCCACGTTTCAGTGTTATGGATAATGGGGTTTATCTTGTATTCCAGGGTGAATTTATGTCTGGGTTCTTATGTGCTTAAAATGTATAGCTGAATAATTCATACACTTATCCCTCTATGTAATGCAGTGCATACTCTTTTTGAGCCTGTCTGAAATTGTTATTGTTTTATGATCTTCTTTTTTATATTGTTTTTACTTTTCTTGTCACCAACAACTTGTATAAAATATTTATAAAAAAAAAAATCCGCCTAAAGCTGCAAATAGTCATCTGTTTTCAGCTTTGACTGACTGCCTTTGTCACCAGTTTGATTTCGCTCTGTATGTGGTATTCACAGTTGACATTCTGGCATTCATCATTCAATTCTCTATTGATTTCAAGCTCACTGTAACATTTCTTGCTCATGCAGGATGAAAAAAATCAAGTACTGACCACCAATATCTGGCTGAACATGGTAAGTCTTATCTAGTTAAACCTGTAATTATAAAATTAAATGATCTATTAATGTACTGTGTCTGTTGTTGTCATGATTAGTGCTGGTTTCAAGGTAAACAAACCATTTAATATTACAATTTCAAGTTTTCATTAACCAAACCTAGAGTGATTATTGCAATTTTGAGATCTTAAGGTAAATCCTGTAACTGTGATTAGGTAATTGTGAAAGGCTGCAATGTAGAGATCTGCGCGGGACTAAATTTTGAATCCCGCTCCCGCCCGCACCCGCCAGGTTTTAGCCCGAACCCGACTGCTCCCGCTTATATTAAGAATTTGTTGTCCCGCTGCCCAACCCGCCCCATTTTCTGCCTGCCGCGCCCGATCCCGCTAAAGAGCGGGGGGAGAACAAAACCGAAAATTACCCAGCTATACAGTCCAGACAGCCAAGCTGTCTGTATAAACACACACACACACACACACACACACACACACACACACACACACACACACACACAGCACCAAGCACACACACACACAGACAAAGCTGTCTTTCTCATACGCGCGCGCGCGCACTAACACACACACAAGCACCAAGCAGACACACAGGCATTTGCTGTTATATCAACTCAAAGGGTTGTAATATCATGTATCAAGTACCAATGTAATACCAAAAGGTTTTATATAAAGGTATATAAATACTGAGTCGCGCCAGCTCCGGGCCGCAGCGCACATTACCCCAGGCCGATTCCGGCGCGGATGCGGCAGCGTCGGCTCGCTTACGGCCGCCGCATCTGGGCCGAGTCCGGCAGCCGGAGCCGAGTGGTAGGTCTCCGGCAGGCGAGAATCTAGCCGGAACTGGCCCGAGTGTGTTTTGCTATCTGGCTAAGCTCTCTCTCTCATTCATGCGCGCGCACTAAAATACACACACAAGCACCAAGCACACACACAGGCACACACACATATATATATATATATATATAGTATTTCCTTTATTTAAAATTGAGAATACTAAGCTGAAGCCTGACTTAAAATTAAACCACAAATCAAATTTTCATCAAATAGCTTAACAGTTTTTGGCTTTTATAAAGCAATTTTGTGAACATCAACATAAACATGGATCCCTGTAAGGCTTTCCAAGTGCAAGTTTAACAAACAATTCAGTCATTCATTTATTTTCTCTTCGGCTTAGTCCCTTTATAAATCAGGGGTCGCCACAGCGGAATGAACCACAAACTTATCCAGCATGAGTTTTTACACAGCGGATGACCTTCCAGTCGCAACCCAGCACTGGGAAAAACCCATACATGTTTTTGGACTGTGGGGGAAACCAGAGCACCCGGAGAAAACCCACGGCAACACAGGGAGCAAACAATACATTGAACAAGTTAATCAAGTGTACCCATACAAACTATTGCAAACAATGAATAAAAATGCAGGGATCCATGATTTTGTTGGTTGTCAAAAACTTGCAAATTTTTTTTGTTGTTTTTTCGGATACAAAACTATTTATTTCTAAACATTTTAAAATATTTTCATCAAAACCGTGATAAAACTGATAAACCTGAATATTTTGGTAATTTTAACTATGATTGGAAATTTTCACATTGTTAAATTGCTAACAATGTCTGTCAATCTGGGTTACAAAGCATCTACAATGGAAATAAATTGAACTAGTCAATAAATGTTTAAATACTCACTTTTTCAACAGTTAATCTTTAAAATGTAAAAAAATATGTGCAAAATTATTAGTTATTTTTGCATGAGAAACAATAAAATAATCACCAACCTTTTTTTTTCTGTACAATGTCAAAGTCAAGACAACACATATTTTTATGTACATTTAACTTATTAGGTTTCAACAAAATTTTAAAGTTATACATATGATTTAATTGAAACATTTAAGGAAGCAATATTTTTTTACAGTGTACCTTTGTTTAACTTGACAACTTTATTCCCTGATCTTGTAAAAATAATGAAAGCTGAAAATGATTAAAAAGCTTTACAACCCATATAGTGTACAAATGTTAGCAGAACATTTCAATGATATGTTTCGGCTTTGAAATATTATCCCCATTATAATTATTACCCAATTATTTTTGCAGTGGTCATGAGGCACAATCTTTTTTTTTGTATTTAGGCTGTATTTTAGGCGCTATTAAATCTGTTCTTTTTAAGGACTACTGGTTTAATGCGCTGACTGAAATGTTTCTTTCTCTTTTTTCCTCAGCACTGGTATGATCATTATCTGCAGTGGAACCAGTCGGAGTATCCAGGTGTCAAAAACCTTCGCTTCACCACAGACCAAGTGTGGACACCAGATATTCTGCTCTACAACAGGTATATAAGCATGTATATTTATGAAACAAGACATTGTTTTTTCACTAATTTTTGCATTGAAAGTTGTTATTATTCATGTAAAGTTAACGGCAAAATTATTATCCATTCTTTTTCAAATTGAAAGAGCAAGAAAATTCCTATTATGTTTTTTTTCATCTGGAAAATGTCATATTTATTTTTAATTCAATTCAATTCAGCTTTATTTGTATAGCGCTTTTACAATGTAGATTGTGTCAAAGCAGCTTCACATAAATGGTCATAGTGAATTGGAACAGAGAAGTTCAGTTTTTAGTGTTTAAGTTCAGTTCAGTTTAGCTCAGTTCAGTGTGGTTTATTAATCACTACTGAGAGTCCAAACACTGAAGAGCAAATTCATCGATGGGTAGCTCTACCGATCCCAAACCTTGCAAGCTAGAGGCGACAGCGGAGAGGGAAAAAAACTTCACTGATTGTGAACTCATTGACGACACCAACAGGAGTGTGCTTGACTATCGAGCCTTAAGGCTGATTTAAATTATGTTCTAAATAAAAGCAAGAAGGAATATTTTCCATATTAAAAGGCGCATTCGTCCTAACCAATACATTTTATATTTTAGAAAGGGTTTCTATTTCTTGCAGCTAAACAACAGGATAAACTGACAATGATGACCTCAGAAACACCTTGTGTGCTTTATTCAGTGTTAAATGCTAATAATGTGAGTTTGAATGCAATTTCACATGACATTTATTGCCATACTACTGAAAGCAGCAGCAGATATTCACCTCAGATCTTGAAAATAAAAAGAAAAACTATTTGAAATTAAACTTTAGAACCTTGACTCAGTGTAAGCCAACACATATCAGTGATTTAGCATCTACGTTAATTAATGTTTAAGGGTTTTAATTTTTATTAATTACATTATAAACCTTACCATTTTGTTGGAGTGCAGTGAGTGCATATATTCTGTGCTTCTGAATGGCTGTATTTAAATTTCTGTCTTGTTTCATATGGTGCAAACGACAAATTACTTATGACTGCGTATCTCATCACGTAGCGTGTTGTTAGTACACAGGGGTACAATGTAACCTGCTCACCTAATGTTTACATTCGTAATATTTAAATAATTTGACAATTAATAACCAACTCATGTTGAACTCTGAATCTCCGTCTTATTTCGGAGTCTGCCACTGTCCACCAGAGGTCACATTTCGGTGAAGGACGCACTCGTTGAGAGCCCATTAGACTGTTTTCCACCAAGGCAACCCATGGTGTTGAAATTTAATTAGCTAAACTGGCGTTGGGTGGGTTAAAGGAACTAAAACAAAGACAGACATTCCAGGACATAACGCACATTTTTTAAAGCAGAATATCTGACCTCAGCATTGTTTTCAGATAAACAAGAATGTTAGCATGTTTCTTAAATATCTGTATACATATTATGGTATATTTATGCTTTAGAAGCATCAAAAACTAAAATACAGCACCTTGAAATATGTTTCAAGGTGAATATTATTAGCCTTCTTAAGAAATTATTTGTTTTGATTGACTTCAAAACAAACAACTCTTGTTCAATGGCTTGTCTAATTTACCTAGCTAAGCTTTTAAATAGCATTTAAATCTGAATAGTATCTTGCAAGAGGGTTTTTTGCTTTTCCTCTGGGCATCTTTTCCCAGAAACATCCCAAACTCTTTGATATATTTGTATCTTCTTATAAGTGAGTCAGAAAAAAAGTGTTCACTAAGCTGAAACAAGTGTATGGCATATCCGATGAGATTTACAGTGAAAGATCTGAACCGTAATAATTACTGTGATCATGCATGCAGACGCTTGAGAATAAGAAGAAAATCCTTTAGCGGGATGATATACTCTTTAAGCGGCAATATCAAAAATGGCATCCCGTGTGTGCTAGGTTAAATAATCCTCGGGAATGGGAGTCAGCAGATGTTAGTTTGTGTGCTTTGTGTGATTGAGGATTGCAGTATCGGAGCCATAATTCAAAGCGTGGGGCTATACAGAAGAGCAACTTCAGATCAATGAACTGAAAATTTGGTCCTTGGGCTACAGCAGATCGTTTAGTCGAAGAGCCGGTGTCCAAACAGCCTATTAACATCCTTCGCCGTAGACTTTTTTTCTTTAATTCACATGGGAGCTCGCTGCTTAGTTGTACATTAAATTTAATCATGGCCTCAAGCTAATTTTGAAAGGGACATTATTCATTCACACCTTGTTATAACCTTTCGAACCGCAGGAATCTTTGTTCATATTTAGTTTTCATGTCGAGTTAATCAGAGCTCTACATCTGATGACTAGCTAAATTTACACCAAGGATTTTCTCCTTTTTACGGTTTCTGAATGTTAATTAAGTCTTTGTCTTGAAAGAAATCATGTCAGAGGTTTGACTTAGATGTTATTGACTGTAAATATTGATGTTTGTTGCTTTTTGCTCGAGTGTGGTTTGCTGTATTATTTCTTGTCTTTTCTTACTCTTGTATTTTTCAGAAAAATAGGTCATTCATTGGAGTAAACTGCTTTCCAACCCACATGAAATCTGATAATTTTAGCTCAATAAGTCATAATTTTTTTTGGTCATCCAGTCTTTTAGATCTTTAGAAATCTCCGTTAGCTTAGACATTTCGCATATCTCATCAGGCTTTGTTGAAATATATTGTTGAGCTTCAGAAGTGGAAGCTAATGTGTCTCCTAATAATGTCTCCTAGAGGCAGCAAGTATATTGTGAATAGCAAAGGGCCTAAACCTGATCTTTGAGGTCCTCCTTTCTTCACTGGCCTGACTTTTTAAAGTTGTTAATTTATTTAAACACTCACCAGCCACTTTATTAGATACACTTTACTAGTACCGGGTTGGATCCCCCTTTGCCTTCAGAACTGCCTTAATCCTTTTTGAAAAAATTATGTGAATGTGTTGCTAAGTTGACGAAGAAGTTTTCTTAGTTTGTTAGTATTTATTTTTTAGTAAATTATTTTCTCCCAGTGTGTTTGAACTCTCTCAGCCATCAGCACACTATGAAATAAATACTATAAAAATCTAGAAAGAAGATTGTTATTATATAAATTGCATCGTGACAAGTGCCGGTGCACTTCTCGCACTCTTTCTTTTACATTTTTTTTTCAGAAAAAATAGTTTTTTGTTTTTTTTGAGACTTTTGTGGTCTGTATTGAACTCCTCTGGCCAGCTTTCCTCTTGCTCTTCGCTCTATGCAGGAGTTGTGACAGCTCTTTTTTTATTTGGAGCGCTACAATGTTTCTCAAGCTTTACATTATTTCAAAATGAAGTTATTCACACAAACTGAGTACAACAGTTGAGTTCTGGAAGTAAAATTCTTAATTTTCTGCATAAAGAAATAGCTTTTTAACAATACCGACAGTCCTTTTGTGAGCTACAAGGTCGTTGATGTGTTTGATATGCGTTTATGTGCTGAAAACTGTTTGAATTTATGAGTACTTTATTCAAAAGACCTGACACAAATATATTCAGATAATAAGGTTACAACACGAATTTTAATACATAATGAAAATCAAATGAGTGGCACATTTGCCTTGGTGCTTTATTTTTTTTTTTTAAGTCATGAAGATAGGAGTAACACTGACATTTTTACCTCAAACATATCTTTAATCAGATCTCCTCTTCTCTTCTCTTAGTTCTGTTTTTCCTGATTATTTTCTGCATGTGTTGCAGTCTGTATTGTAATATTTGGCACCTCTGTTCTCGAAATTCACAGGTTTTAATTTGTTGAAAGAAGATTTTTAAATCGAATGAGCTTTTTTTTTAGAGGCGCGGTGGCTCAGTGGTTAGCAGTGTTGCCTTACGGCAAGAAGGTCGCTGCTTTAACTCCTGGGTCAGTTGTTGTTTCTGTGTGGAGTTTGCATGTTTTACCCATGGTCGCGGTTGATTCCTCTGGGTGCTTTGGTTTCCCCCACAGTCCAAAAATATGATGTATAAGTTAATTGGGTAAACAAAATTGGCCGTAGTGTATATGTGTGAATGATTGTATGGGTGTTTCTCAGTACTTGTTGTGGCTGGAAGAGCATTAACTACGTAAAACATTTGCTGGAATCTACTCATTCTACTGTGGAGACCCCTGATAAATATGGGACTAAGCTGAAGGAAAATGAATGAATGAAGTTGTCTTTTATCATTGTATGCATGAACTGAGAGGGAAAAAAAGAACACCTGATTGTTTACACTTTGAAAGAAGTTAATCCCATAATTTCTGTCAAAATCACAATTAGAAATCCTAATTAGATAAATGAATGGGGGTTTTTCAACTTTTTTACATAGTAACATAGTTTAATAACTTTTTTTAAATAACTTTTTTAATAACTCATTTTAAATATATTTGCCATGATGATAGTAAATAATGTTTTACTAGTTAATTTTGCAAGATACTAGCATTCAGCTAAATTGCTCTTTAAAGGTTAGTTAACTTGGCACGTTGGGCCCTATCATACACCCGGCACAATAAGGCGCAAGACAAGTTTGGCACGCTTTGTTGCTATTTTCAGACCAGGGCAACAGTATTTTTGACGTTTTGCACCATGTTGTTTAAATAGCAAATTCCCTTGAGCCACTTTGTAGACTCTTGGGTGTGCTGGTCTGAAAAGGAGGTGTGTTAAGGCGCATTGTTGGTGCATTGCAATTTTAAGAAACTGAAATAGACCACGCCACTGACCAACTAAAAGCATGTTAGTTATGCACCTATGCGGTCCAAACACTTACACATTGCTTAACACACGCAGGATGTACAGCAATACAAAAATATCCTTACAAATCCTAAAAAAACATTAAAATGTTACATAAATGATTATTTTTTTACATTAATATAATAACCACTGCCTCAATGCCTCCATCTCGTTTTTTTTTTTTTCCAGTTTATTCATGACAATTTGCATTACTATAATATTTTCTGTAGTAGTAATACTATTTATTATATGCATATTTTTATATATATATATATATATTTTTTTATAAAAACAAGCTTATATTTGGACACCTGTCAGGGTGCGTCACTATATGGAGTATAAGAATAAGACGTGTGTTTGGATATAACTCGTTATTCATTCATTAATTTTCTGCCGCTTTTCCTGGGTCGGGCCGCAGGGGCAGCAGTCTTAGGAGAGAACCCCAGACATTCCTCTCCTCGAACACTTCCTCTAGTTTCTCTGAGGGATCCCAAAGCGTTCCCAGGTCAGTTAAGAGACATAGTCTCTCCTGCGTGTCCTGGGTCTTACCCGAGGCCTCCACTCGGTGGGACATGACTGGAACACCTCCCTAGGTAGGCGTCCAGGAGGCATCCGAAACAGATGCCCGAGCCACCTCAGCTGACTTCTCTCAATGTGGAGGAGCAGCGCCTCTACCTCACCCTATTTATAAGTGTGCGCCCTGCCACCATTCGAAGGAAACTCACTTCGGCCGCTTGTACCCAAGATCTTGTCCTTTCGGTCATGACCCAAAGCTCGTTATCATTGTTCACTTGTTAGTGTGCTGGAAATTAGAACTGGGTTTAGAAATAATTTTTTTAACTAATCTTTAAACAAACTTGACTAACAAAATTAAATATGTAGGCTAATGGATGTCTTTTGGATGCGTTTTCACGTTTTCCTTATCCGCAAAAGTGAAGAGGCCAAATAGAGGAGGCTCGTTCTTTATCCTCATGCTGCAGATGGTCTCTTGAACTGTTTTCTCGCTAGTGAAGCGTTCAGTTTTTCCACTTACGAAGTCTGCTATGTAAATAGCAAATGCGCCATGGCGCGATGCAACTGACACTTGAAGGGAATGGGAGATGAATCTCTGATTGGTTTAATGCACCTCATGCTCAAAACATGCCCATAGCTCATTAAGAGAATAAGTACAACCCTGTTAGGCCATTCCCCAGAGCGCAAAGCATATTTTTCCATCCTTAAAATAGTAAAAGTTTGGATTCGGACACGTCTTTAATGCTTTTGCGCCGTGTGCTTTAGACTTTGCACCTAGATCGTTAAAATAGATCTCATTGGGTTAATTAGGCAAGTCATTGGACAACATTGGTGGGTTTTTGTTAGAAAGAGAGAAAAATTAAGCTAAGTAGCTTTTACATTTAAAAAAAAATGTTTGTTTATTCCAGCCAAGCTAAAAGAAATTAGACTTTCCTCCAGAAGAATAATATAATAGAAAATACTGTGAAAAAATGCCCTTGATCTCCTAAACATCTCTTGGGAGATATTAGAAAAATAATTAAAATTTCTCAACTTTAAATAAGGCCAAATATGAAACTGAAATGTCTAATACATTCACCCTCTCTCCATTTGCAGTGCAGATGACAAGTTTGACTCCACCTTCAAATCCAATGTTGTGGTGAACTCCAGCGGATACTGCAACTATCTGCCTCCAGGTCAGTGCGAATGCCTACACTTAAGCTTTATGGCGCTTATAATGATACAAGCAAGTGGTTCATAGCACAAAGAGCTCCAGCGGTATTCAAAGTAAGGCATTAAGCTATAAAGTGATTTTTTCCATGGAAATAAACATAGAAAGAGGGTGAGAGAAGGTCACCTTTTATGAGAAGTGCAACAGCTGAAGCAGACATGAATATTAGAAATGCAGTCACACTGAAGAAGGGATGCCTTGAAGAGCTCTTTGCACACATGCTGTGGAAATCAAAGAACCCTCTTTCTTGTTCCGTATAGTAAATGGTGGTTCATGGGTCATCAATTTAAAGATTTGCACATCGGAAACTGGGACGTTTATGGTGCGAAAGGAAACAGGGAGTTCATGAATTATGTTTCAGCTACTTTATTTCCTCTGAGGGCAATAATGCTCAAGAATATGCATTGCAAATGCATATTGCATTTATTTTTGGAAAGCAGAACAAGCAATGAAGTCTTCCTTTGATTAAAATGCATGCATTGTACATAGGGATGTCACGGTTTTCCCAGTCATCAGATTCCGTCTGTGAAGAAGAACGTCTGTTTTTCTCTCTCTGACATGCAGATTCATACACAACAGCTCGCTCAGCAATGAAGCAGGAGTCTTTAAATAACCCTCACTGCAGATGCAAACAAGCACACATTTGCTATCATGAGCACATCGTGCCCCGATGGCTCGTATTTGCTGATTTCATTGCAATTTAACGCTGCTTTTCTTTTCCCCACATTAAATTCCTGCAGTCCCACAGTAGCAAACAGAAATCAAATGCGTTTTTTTGAAGTCAAGTCAGGCAGAGAGATGAGGAGCCGCGTGGAAAAAGCCAGACGCACATAGAGAGAGAAAATTTCACATCTTGTTTTGAGAAATATGTTTATTCATTAGTGGCTTGTGGGCGTGAACGGCATTTGGTAATCCGGTGATCTGGGCAGATGCCAAGGACACAAACAGACAAAGTCTGATCCAGAATAAAGCTTTGTTTATTTGCTGCAACTGTTTATCAGTAAACAAATGTTTATGCTGATGGATATAAAAGCTGCCAAAGGTGTTAAAGCACCTGTAAATCTAAATATGCATTTTATTTTAATTTATTTTGACATTTTAATCAGTGAGTATTATGACTTGACAATTTTTAAGTACCTGTATTTGTGTAAGTAAATTACATACAAAGTCAATGCAAATGCATTAATAGAAGCTAATGTCCAGGGAGCGAAGCAAACGATGCAGAATGCACAATGCGTGTGCCACAAATGCACATATTTTGCCTCAGTCGTGTCTTCTGTGTAAATTTAAAAAGATTCAGCTCAAACTGAAAATTTGTGTAAGCTGAAAAATATCCTGTGAGTAAATCAGTGCAAGTGACACAATGATTTAGTGTGAACACAGCATAACTAGTTGTTAAAATGCACCTAATTCACATTTGGAAATTAGGAATTTTTTTAACAGATTTGCTTCTCGTTTGGATGATTAATGATAAGCAATATATACATTTTTAAAGGATCTACATTGATTGGTTACATTAAACTGAAATTTATCGACTGAATTACTTTCAGCAGTTCAAAAGGAATTATATTTATTAATGCAGTAAAAAGTTTTACAACTTTATTTGTCATGCATCTTTAACTTTAAAACTTTCCAGATCTTTAAACATTTATAAATAGCTACATTACACACTACTTGAAAGCTAATATAAAAAAAACACACCTAATAACGTTACATTTATTTTAGTTTTAATACATCTTCACGTTCCATTTACACCTTATATTGTTACATGTAATTTTCAACAATAATCCATTTGGTAGTCCATACAAAAGGAAATAAAGAGACTGAGGGCCCTATCATACACTTGGCGCAATAGGGCGCAAGACGTGTTTGGCGTGATTTGTTGCTATTTTTAGACCAGTGCAACCCTAATTTTCACATTTTGCGCCACGTTGTTTAAGTAGCAAATCCATTTGCGCTAGTTTGTGGACTCATAGGTGTGCAGGTCTAAAAAAGAGGTGTGTTTAGATGCTTTGTTTGCGCATTGCTATTTTGAGAAACTAAAGTAGGCCATGCCATTGACCAACTGAAAGGTTGTCTGAAGTCCAGTGCAGAGCGCGTTAGGTGAGCTTAAGCAGGTCCAAGTGCTTACACATTGCTTAATACACACAGGATGTACAGCAATACACAAATATCTTTGCATATCACAAAAAAATTAAAGGATTAAAATGTTACAAAAATGATTATTTTCTACATCAATATAAAAACCACTGCCTCCATGCCTTCTTCACCTCGGGGTGCTTTTTTCAGTTTATTCATGACAATTTGCATTTGTATTATGTTATAAGTATCAGCAGTATTATTTATTATATGGATATTTATACTTGTTTTAATAAAAACTAGTTTAGATTTATCCATCTGTTGGGTTTTGGAGACGTATGCATCACCATATGGGGCATAAGAATAGGACGTGTGTTTGGATATAACCTATATTTAGAAATAGTTTGAAACAATTTTTTTGCGCTTAACAAACAAAATTAAATATGTAGGCTTGACAAAACTGACCCTAAAGTGAATGGGAGACTCTGATTGGTTTAATACACGTTATGCTTAAAACACCAATAACTTATTAAGAGAATAAACACAACCCCTGTTAGACCATGCGCTTGGGCACAGACCGTATTTTTTCATCATTAAAATAGCAAAAGTGGATTCGGACAAGCTCTTAATGCTTTTGCGCTATGCACTTTAGATTTTGTGCTTAGATTGTTTAAATAGAGTCCTAATACGCCTTTTTCCCCCATTTTAATTAATGTTCAGTTTATTAAAACTAAGAGTAATTCTCATCTTTTGCCATGCAAATAATCATAAGACAAAAATACTTTCTATTCAAAGAACATTTCTTTTAATTTGTTTTCAAATGATAGTATTTCTGATTGGATGATTGGATTTCACAATGCTTTGAGTCGGTCATTATGAAGATATTATTGCTGATTGTGCCGTGAATCAGATCCTCATTGAGAATGATCTGCAGCGAGTTGCTCGTGTCGACAGTAAAGTTAATTTGAGAGTAGATTAGGCTAATATTGACTCATCCAGAATTGTAGTAGCATTCCTGTTGGATTCTGTCAAGAGATGCCCTGTAGCGCTGCTGACTCACATTTCTGACTGATCTAAAGCGAACGACAGTGCCTGCGTGTGTTCTGAATGTATCAGGGTGTGTATTTTGTTTATTTTAAGACTTTGTTTCTGTATCTTTGTGTTAAATTCAAATTTAATTAGTCACCATGACCAGAGAAACAATGTAAAGCTACGCAAACGTGACATGCATTAGCCCAGACATATGAAAACGCGATTAGCAGGTGTATAAGAGCTCATAACAGGTTATTAGCATGCGCCGACTGCTTCACTGCTAAAGGCTACTGCTCTTCCCTGCATCATCTCATTCAATATTTTCACCATCTTTACTGCTTGCCCCATGCCTCTTCTCTGAAGAATCCATTTAGCGGGAGTGGGTTTCACTAGCTCGCTAGCCGTCGGTATTGATTAGCTTTTAGGATTAGTCACCTGGATCCCTGGAGTAGAAGCCGTCGACATGGAAAAGAAAGGCAGCAAAAATCCAGCGGAGATCTGAGGTGCTTAGACTGAGCTGTGTTTAAGCCAAATATCGATAGACTGGTTTTTAAAAAAAATCGCAGTTGTCCTCTTGAGTGTACTAGAAAGTGCCCTGGATGAAATTCCTCTAAATGTCAAAGTGCCCTGAGGAGGGATTTGTAGATGCTACATTTGAGTCCGGTTAGTAAAGGCAGAAGCGGATGACTAATTCTCGGTGGGGTGATTGGGAAACCTTTGGAAATGCAATTCTGGCTGTTTTTTAATTTTTTATAAGTGAGTCATTCACTGGGTCCTCCACTTAGTTTGTGCCCATGACACTTTTTTTCTTCAGGAAAAATAATCTTCTTGCAAATGCATTAGGACTGGCATTGGATCCGAGCCACATGGAAACCCCCCAGTTCCATAAGTAGCCCTAAGTGTAATTAGTGAGGCTTTAAAAGGCCAATCTCTCATACTTAAGGTTAAGAAAAAAAAAACATTGTGTTTAACTATGGTATTTTAATCTTTTACATAAGGTTGGGCGATATCACATCATCATGTTTCACATTATTCGGTATTAATAATTATTGATTATTTTTTTAATAATCTATTTAGGAATATTAGGATTTTTTAATTTTTATTTAAAAAAAATAGCTGATCTCTTTATAATAAAATAAACATAAATGTTAAAGAAAAGTTTGATTTAAACTTGATTAATAAAATGTTACAAAGTGTGTGCAATGGGAAAGTGTAAATGCTGAACAATCAAAGCAAACATTAAGGTGTGAATATAGTAATGATACAGTAAACATCAAACTCTGTAAACAAAAGAAATTATGATAAGCAAATCTGAGCTTTCAAGTAAAGGAACCAACCATCATTTTTCATACATGTTGCAACATTATTCTCTATTAACCCTATGCTAAAAATCTCTTTCAGATGGGGAACTAGTGGTTGGGATGCACAAGAAAACAAACCAAAAAGCCACTCTGGCGACATCCTTACATCTTTTTTATTTAATTGACAATCTCCTCACTGCTGCTTTACGGCATTAACTTTTTGTGTGTGTGTGTTGTTATTCTGACCTGATGTGACATGCAGCCCTGCTGTGCACGTCGCGCTCCTCCAGTGGAAAAGACAAACTTGCACTAAGCTTATTGGCATTCCTTTCAAGGTGCGTGCCACATCTTAATAAAACTATAGCGCTCCATACCGAAACTTCATACCGAAACGTCTTTTTTTATCGATATTGACAATGGTGTTCGGTCAATAGATAGCCCTACTTTTACAGAAAATGTTTAAATGACATTATTATTATTATTATTATTATTATTATTAACTTCTTTAAATATTATGTAGTGGGTAATGTACCTGTTTGTGAAATGTAAAATG